TTTACATCTGCATACATATTTTTTTATATTTTTTTTTTGCGTAATTCTCTCGCAGAGATTTTCTCGTTTCATCGACGTACATAATTTAGTTTTATGCAAAACGCGTCCGCAGCGCGCTAATAAGGAACATTTAATCCACATACTACTACTTAGGTAACGCATGTAGTGAGTATACTTAAGTATTTAATTTCATAGAAGTTTGTACGTTAGAGGTGTGTGTTTTGGGTGTGAGTGTTGTGGCTCTGTCCGTCTCTATCTTCGGAACACTTCTTCGATCCTCCTACGTTCTGAGGAGCTCGTATACAATCACGTTCGCACTAAAACCAGTAGAGGTCCTTTGAGGAATCCTGCACTTGCGCCTCTAATCCTGCAACACAAAACAAAACCAACAAAATAAATCACACGAAATAATATAAAGTGTTCGAGTATAGAAATAAAAGTGACGATGTATGCCAAAGGCATAAAAAAACATGCGATTCAATTAAAAGTAACGCAATTCAATTTGTGACGGCTTTCTAGTCCGCTGCTGCTAATTAGCAAATTATCTTTCATAATCTTCCCATGACGAAATAATGAAATAAATTCCGGAGATAGTTGCGGCCGCATCGCGTACAGACCGAGTGACCATTATCAAACGCAGTAAAACAATTAGGCTTATATAACATAGAATTAAGGCCAGTTAGGAGTGCAGAGTATAAAAGAACATGTACACTTTTAAACGATGTAGTATTTAATAAAAACTCTGCTCAATTTCCAATCATCGATTAACAACGACTCTTGCACCAATCTATTATATTCTTGTTTGTATTCTCATTCCACAACCGTTTCCTTTTTCTTCTCTCATCTCATCTCGTCTCATCTCATCTCGTGTGCTTCTGTTTCGTTCGCTTCCTACCTATCTATGACCAGTGCTCATATTATTGGGGATTTAGGATTAACCGGAAAGGTTTTTTGCTTGGATTTACGATTATGGCCGCTGCGATAAAACCTATGCGCAGGTATTTTTCCCAATAAACGACACACAATTTCTCAGCAGGATAAGTATATATAAATAAAAAAAAATGGAGTGTCTGTGGGATGGAGCGAGAGGAAACGAGATTGCTGCTCGATGGAGAGGAGGACGGCCGAACGAACGAACACAATTTGCACGTCTGGGATAATTAGACTCGCCATGGAATATTTCAAATTCATTTCCAGAGCCATTCCATGGAAATTGAACGAACCGTAATTTCCCAAAGCCAAATACCCTCTCACTACTCGAACCAAACTACTTTTATTTTTACCTCGCTCACTTTTAAATGTCTATTTTTATGTTCACTGTTTACTCTTCTCTTTTTCTGCACTTAAATAACAAATATTTTTATCTTGTTCTCCTTTTTTTTTTTCTCTCTGTTCTCTTCACAAACAACTAATTTATTGGATGACACGCAATTATGCACATGCACAACCAAGACCATTAATTACATTTTCAATTAATACTATCAAAATCAATACTTATCTATAATTACACATTTAAACGTATTTTCATTCATTGATTAATAACTAATATTTTTGTAATTTAAGTTAATTTTTTGTTATTAAAGGATAGCTAAATCAATCAATGTTGTATTAAGGACAGTTTATAAAAGTCTACTTGTTTGTTTATACGAAATATTAAAATTTTCGTTTCTTCAGATAATTCGTATTTATTTATTTTGCTTTGATGCGAGATAGAAGTTAATAAATTATTGGTAATATCTTTTTAACCTTGAGAAAAATGTAAAATCAATACCCTATTAGGTGTACGCAAAAAGGTTGCAATTCGAATGAAAAAGTCGCATCGTGTATTTGTTTTGTTATTTTCTCTTTTTTCTATAGAACCGTGTAACTAGATGCAATTATTTGTAATGTCCGTGACGGGATTGGACGGGATTGTGTTTGGTATAAAGGTGGCTCTGGTTATGATATGGGTGTGATGTTTCAAGAGAAATTAAACAATGGTTGGAAGGATGATGATGATGATGATACGGTTATTCCGCGAGTGTGCAAGTAAGCGGACTGACCAGTCAGTCGTCCGTTCCTAGAAGCCGACCGGCCAGCAATCAGAATCAATACCCGCCGGCTGACCAATGGCAGCGCACACATACGCACACAATATAATCTACACACTGCAGAGCAAGAAGAAGCTATACACACAGAAAGATAGATGTATAGAGAGAGAGAACGCGTCGGACAGAGATAGATGCAGACGTGAAGTGAATAGGTGGAAGAAGGAGAGAAGTAGTTCTCTCGTTCCCCTTCGACCCATCATCATCATCATCTATCATCATACAAACTCGGGCATTCCGGCCTATAATTACGGATACGCATACACGCGAATGTATTTCTTCCACGAATAGTATTACTAGATTTGCTCAGCCAACCAACCTGACATGGTGGGGTAGGACGTGTACGGGTTGTCCAAGGAGGGATGCTGCCAGTCCATCGCCTTGCATTGAGCCCCGGGCATGTGAAGCCTCGACCCTGGAAGCAGCAAACCCCCATATTGGGCCGCCATATTGTGATGATGGTGGTGATAGTCGTGGACTGCGCGATGACTCGCCGCCGTATACTGATGATACCAATCTCCGGGATGATAGTGATCGCTCGTCGTCCCCTGGTATAAATCACCCCCGCTTCCACCGCCGCTTCCACCCCCGTACTGAGAACTGTTCCAGAAGCTCGGGGGGAAGTTTCGCGCTGACATGGGCGACGTTTCTGTAACAAAACAAACAAAATTCAATCAATACAAATGTTGTAAATTATTGTTGTATAATATTTTTTAATTATTTTCATTATATCTACAACACTTTGCGTTTGTGGAGTGTAATCAAGTAGATTTAAATATTGTGCAAACATTGAATCATTTAATTAATTCATAGTAAACTTGATTATTTATAGACATTACAAATTTCTACTAAATTTAATCTATTGATATCATACCTAAATTATTAAACATTTAAATATTACATTAAATTAACTTATCCAAATAATATTATCTTGTTGTAATTACTAATAAACATAAATACAAATAGTATCTATATTATTTTATCAATATTTTATTAATATTACATGATTTAAATCGTTATATTAATTAACAAGCCGATTTATCTTGAAACTATTTGAAACAAAAATTATAATAAGTAAAAAACTCAATGTTTTTTAAGATCTTTCGATATACTAAACAACCACTAGCTCCAGTTACAAGTATAGTACTCTAATTAAAGTCAAATATTCATGCTTCAATATAAAAGTATTTGCATATTTGTATCTAATTCCCTTTTTCTGTAATTATCTCTGAAAATTGAAGAAACGTTAATTTTAACACTTGGGACAGTGTCTCCACGTTTTAATGTATTACTTGATAACTAATTACGCCAATTATAAGTATGAGAGCTCTAATTAAAGTCAAATATTCAGGATTCAATATTTACTGCATCTAAAACAGTTTTCTTATAATTAGTCATCAAATTTGAAAGAACGTTTTATTAATACTCGAAAAAGCAGTGTCTCCACGTTTTGATGTATTACTGGACAACTAATTACAGCAATTATAAGTATGAATCTAATTAAAGTCCAATATTCATGCTTCAATATAAAAGTATTTGCATATTTGTATCTAATACCCTTTTTCTGTAATTAACACTGAAAATTGAAGAAACGTTAATTTTAACACTTGAGACAGTGTCTCCACGTTTTAATGTATTACTTGATAACTAATTACGGCAATTATAAGTATGAAAGCTCTAATTAAAGTCAAATATTCAGGGTTCAATATTTGCTGCATCTAAAACAGTTTTCTTATAATTAGTCATCAAATTTGATAGAACGTTTTATTAATACACGAAAAAGCAGTGTCTCCACGTTTTGATGTATTAATGGACAACTAATTACAGCAATTATAAGTATGAATCTAATTAAAGTCAAATATTCATGCTTCAATATAAAGGTATTTGCATATTTGTATCTAATACCCTTATTCTGTAATTAACACTGAAAATTGAAGAAACGTTAATTTTAACACTTGGGACAGTGTCTCCACGTTTTAATGTATTACTTGATAACTAATTATGACAATTATAAGTATGAGAGCTCTAATTAAAGTCAAATATTCAGGGTTCAAAATTTGCTGCATCTAAAACAGTTTTCTTATAATCAGTCATCAAATTTGAAAGAACGTTTTGATGTATTACTGGACACAATTACAGAATTATAAGTATGAATACAACGTAACATAAGTAAATGTTTAGTTGTATTGTGTTAATGCATTTGAATTGCAGAAATCAAGAATTTTGTTGATTTAAGGCTTGACACCTTGTAGCAATGCATGTTATGGTCTCCTTTTTTTTTATTCGCTCCGTTGTTTATACATTTTTCTTTTATTCCCTTTTCCTCATCTTCTCGCATCGTTGAAATGGTGAAGAACATGAAGAAGAAAAAAATGTCAATCGGATTCTGTTAAAAACTTTCATCGCATTCCGATCTACATTTCATCGATGAATGTTGGTGTGGTGTCTGCGTCTGTATTTTAAAAGGCTGGACACATCTGCGTGATCTTCGGCTCGCGATCAGATACTCTTTATGGGGTTGTAATCGCCTCGATGGAGGGCAGTTAATTACTAATGCAATGCATGTTATGCATGGGGCAGCGACGGCCATTCGTATATTACCATCGCTTCCAAGAATAACGCTCATAATAATGTACATACATATATTAATAATGTTTGCCAGTCACGAGACATTAGCCAAAGGGAGGAAGGCAATGCACAAACAAACAAACAAACAAATAAAAAAAAATGTATGAAATAATGGAGCGAAAGAGAAATTGCACTTCCTACAAACTTTTATTACAATTACAAATACACGAGAGATTTTACGCGGAATTGCAATTAGGTTTTCTTATATATGCAACGTTGTCTCGCGGGGCTCGACTTTTTTTTTCTGTTTCGTTTTGTTTTTCTTCGTGTTTAGTGTGTAAGTCTAGATGGGTTTCGGATATAAAATATGCGCCCGGTAAAACACAAACAAGTGTTTCAAGAGGGGACCACAAGAAAGAACGGGTCCCCCTCCAACCCCCGAAAAAGATATGAACAAGATAACTATCGCTGGTGACTTTTGTCCCAGGACTCCCCAACAGCCGCACCGCGCAGATTTATTGTCGGCTTATTAACATTTATCATCGAACTTGACCCAATCCGTTATGACCGCATTTACAACAAAACCAAACAAATAACGCATAAACAAAGCCGAAACGAGGTGGAATAAAATAAATAAAGAGACGGTGATAGGTGGTAAATGGTCGTCGGACTGGGTGGAACGGGGAAAACCTGTCCCCGGGATCCCATCAACTCTGATCAAATATATATAAATTATACGGTGTAATTATGGCGGCGACGATTCTCAAACATTATCTCTACCAAAAACAAACTAAAACTACATTCGTGTATCCCTAATTAATTACATCTTCTACTTTTCTCCTTTCTGGTCTCTCTCTCTCCATCTGTTTTGTTTTTCTTATTTCGTTTGTTATTCCACAAACACGCTTTCTAATGCATTAAACGTCGAAATGCCCAAATCCCTTTTAAAGTACCAACAAATACTCAAAAACCAATTCCAAACAAATATATTGTTTGCAAAACTATACTTTTTACACAATTTATCTAATTTTTATCTAAAAATCTTTTAATTCAAAACTTTAAAATCTATATAATTACATTTATAAGTATCAATATTTGAAGCAACAAAATTGCAATAATTTTTGTCATGAAGAATTGTGATTTAACATGACAAGATTTGACAAGATTTTTAACTAAAAAAATGATCGTTTCTGTTTAAAAATTTAATTATTTTGTTGCAATAAACATTATTATTATAAATTACGAAATCAATGTGTATTCAGCAAATAAATATATATATATGTATAGTTATCAACATGCTATGATCTTTATATGTAATTTCCATTTAATGTCGATCGATGTTTACCCATCGACTTCATTTTATTACCTTATTAACTGATCCGAATCGAGTTTTGGTTCTCGTTTAAATTTTGATCGAGAGCAACCATTAACCGGTCACTAATTAACATTTTCATTTAAAATTAGTCGCATTTTTTACATAGCTCTTAATTCCACTCTTAATCTGAATCTAATTGCGAACCGACAGGGCAAACGAAAACAAAAACAAACAAAAACAGACGCACATGCATTCATACAAAATTAAATGAGCAAAAAGGAAAAAAGACCTAATAATAAAAATAAAAATTTATAGACCATGTCATTTAGATAACGCTTCGAGAATATTACGCCATACGGTCAGGAATGCAATTTGCATATAAGTTTTTTATTTTTGCTTCAAATAACGTTAAGAGAAACGAATATGTTTATAACGAGAAACAGAACTATTATATTACTGTGTACATTTAAGAAAAAAACCCTTTGATTTGGAACTAATTCTTCCAAATTATTATAAATTTAAGATTCAGTCTTAATTTTTTTTTTTAAATTAAGAAGTACATAATATTAACGGAGCGGAAAAGGGGAAGGGATATATTGCAGAGACAGCTCCTTAAAAATGTTTATGATCTGTTGAAATACACTTTCCAGATACGATCTATGCGATTAACATATTCAATGAGAAGATTGAAGAATTTTATACTGATAAAATCTCACTACTGTTACGAATAGTAAATGGAAAGAAATCCATTGTCAATTTGGTTTCTTCAAAATTAGTTATTGTGAACTCAATTATATAATAAAGATAAGATTATATTTGATACAGCTTTCAATCATATTGCCTTCTAAGTATAATAGTTTTTGATATTGACTATGACTGAAGGACTTCATGTCTGCAAAATTTTTTGTTTTTTTTTTATCTTTAAAACAATGCTTTTCTTAAGTGGTTCTACTGTGAACTATGGATTGGAGAAGGCGAGAAAAATGTACGTTTTTTATGTAGAATCTTTGGAAGTGCATGGCAACTTTGTACGAGGAGGAAGCATTAAACAAGTTGTAAATGGAAATTCATTCCGTGAGTGACTTCAAATTTCTCGGAATTTCGTATACGCGAAAAGTCATTGGGAGAGTGTTAAAATGCGAAATGTACGTGAAGAGAAGACAATACGCAATTTTGTAAATGCGGAGTGTGACGGTTCGGTAAAAAGAAGAGCGAAGGAACAGCAGGAGCAGAAGGAGGAGGGAAGAGATGAATACAATAAAAAAACAAAAAAGGAGGGACGGTGATGGTAAAAATTGTCGATGTGTCGATTGTGTCTATAGTGTTTGTATATATAGAGTGGTGCGTTCCGTTTGTGGTGGAGGCAAGGTGACCAAGTGGTACAAAACTCGTTTGGGAATGCGCGGTGATTTATATAAAATGGTATCTGATTATTTGTGAATGTTAACTTTAGTTTTATATTGTCGATGGGTCCTTTGAGCCCGGGCCGCGGTTCCCACACTCTGCGGCGGAATCAATTCGAAGAAACCAGAAGAACACTTCGCCGTCGCTGCGACAGCCTCCACTGAACCTCTCAACCTGAGCAGACTCGACCACAACAGACCTCTCTGTCGCTGCCTGCCTGCCTGCTCCCCTCTGACAGATCGCTGCTGCACGGACACCCATTAGAAAAACTCTCCTAACCGAAAAAAGAAACCCAATTCTCTCTTTCTCTCTATACAGAAATTTATTGCGGACTCCCATTCCCAATTTACCTTCTGGATCTTCAGGTCTGCACATTGCGCGTTCAACTTGCACAAACTGCTACTCCTCTAACGCGTCGACGAAAACAAATTAATCTCGCATACTTTCGCAAATACTTACCAATCAATTGCTCCGAGAAGATTTATTACTTTAATCAAGTACATTACAGACAATCCAAATAGATATTTTTCCCCCATCTCAATTTTATGGAATTCCACATCCAAATATTTTTCTTCCAAATAAGCAGTTCAACAAGTATTCCACCATCGAAATAGAGATACAAACATTCTCATCTTTACAAACAACAAGTTTTGTTCTCGGTTTTTTCTTTTTCTTATTTTCCTATCCTATCACTATTAAATGAATGTCCTAAGGCAATCTTAGTTCATTTTCATTATAAATCATGTTTTGACTAAGCCTTGGATTGTTTTGGATCTTTCTAATATATAAAGTGATTGATGTTTCAAATTTCAAGAAAGCAACGTGTGTTTCAGTACTGCTCGGAATTGACAACTGATGTATTATCATGCGAAAGATTTCTTTAAAAAAAAATGTTATATTATAATTTAATTTAAAAATTTAATAATTATTCGCAAATAAATGCAGTTTCTTGTGTTTTTATTTTATTTTATGTCTCACTATAAATTAATGAAATTTAGTTGCTTATAAATTATTTCTCCTCTTAATTATTTTTTTAAGGCGATGAGAAACAAATTCACCACTTCGAGTATTTCGCAAAAAGGTTTGCAACGTACCGCCGCACTTATATATTTCAACGTGATTTATTGCGCTAATCAAGTGTATATAAGTGCCATAATTTTTTTTTCCTCTTATTTTAATCAAGTTAAGAACAAACTTTCGTTCGCGAAAGGAATCGAAAAGTATTTCGATATATATATATTGTGAGCGTGAGATGGTTGGTGGTGGTGCTCTGTCTGCGTACGAGAGAGAGTGTGAGCGGCTTAGGCTTCGCAATAAATTAAGTTTTAATTGCCGACCGCAGCTGTCGCCACTTTACATGATTAATTAACGGCAACACTTCTTGCATAATATCCAACCAACCATCCATCCAATTCATCCATCAATCTATCAAATAATCTCAAGATATTTACCTTTGTTGTGTGCGTTGGTTTTATCGAGGGCTCTCGAGAAGTGCTCATCGACGACGGTGGCGGCATCGCCTTGGTAATGTGTGAAGACAACGCAGTTGGCGGAGACGTACTGGGCCCTGGAACCGCCCGGAGTTGCAGCCGCTCCCTCCTCGGAGGAGTCGTCCTGTCCGTCCTCTTCCTTGTGGGGTCTCAGGGGGCTGCTGGGTGTTGATCCGACGGTGGAGCCGCCGGTGCTGTGGGTGGCGTAGACACCGCTTCCAGAGGATGCCTCCAACCCGGCGGCTCCACTGCTGGAAGCTGTGGCCTGGCTCAGCGGATGCGACGACTCCTGCAGTCTCTGCACGTTGAACTGGCGAACGAAAGAAACGAGATAGAAGATAAACAAATACCGAAACGAATGAATACAATTAGTAGTTTCTCTCCAAATTAATACACTCAATTAAATGGTAGACTAGTTTGTATGGGGGGCTTGATGTATTGTAATGGTATTTATTGATATTAGTGAGCTGCTAGGCGGCGATTCAAAGGCATTCCGTCGAGTGGCTTCCCGGAGTCGGCCCGTTTTTACTCACATATCTCCATCATGGCCGCAAAGCACACAGGCATTTATCATTATCTCTACACTGTATAAACAATACTCCAAACGGAATACCACTCCATCTCTCTCTGCCTTTCTCTACGTCCACTCTTCAACTGTCACCGACAGAATTAACTAATTCCCTTTCCCTCCTCCCCCCATTATTGATTACGCCCGCAATTAAAATTACACACAGTTTTTACCATCAGTGATTGATCTGAATAACGTCCATTGCAATTTCCCACGTACCGCGAACATCGAGTACGTCTTTACTTCTTTTTTTTTGTTGATGCTGCGCAAGCTTCATCTCAAAGTGAAATTTGTATGGAAAAGAACGCTATTATCTATTCCCCAAGTGACTCCGAAACTATTCACTGCTCGAACCTAATTGGACTAATCGAAACTAATTGCTTCATTTTCACTTGCACAGATACTTCCAACTTACGTCATTTACCAACAACAAAAAAAGTGACTTTTCAAGTAAAGTCAATTGTTGAACCATATCAACAAGCTTCCACAGCAATGCAGATTCATTGCGTGCACTGCATAAATTGATATTTTAATTGTTACTATTAGGTCAGGTCGAGAAAACAATCAACATTAAATGCTACAATTACAAAGTATAACTCAATAAGCTCAAAAATTTCTAATCACCACATCATTTAAACTTTTCTTAAGATCATTTATATTAAAAAATAAACCCATTCGAATAAAGTATGGCGGTAACCGAATTAAAACAGCTGGTATTTTATCTCCTGCATCTCTTTAACTATTATGTGTATCTCTCTATCTCTCGCATCAAAGGAGCAATAAAACAGTGGTTGTATAATTGGATGAGGGCCATTTTATGAGCTGTTAGGCTAATGTTATTTTTGTTATAAATACTACCTACTTCAGAACGAAACATTAAATAAGTAATATTTAAGTTTAAATTACTACATTTTATAAAATTACAATTGCATTACGAAACAACCGTTAAAAACAATGCAGTTTATACTGTCTTATTGTTATTCTTCCGCATAAGACGTTACTTAACTTTAATAAGTTTTCAAAGAAATGGTGATCTAATTGAATACTTATAAATAATGTATACATTTTGATGAAAAAGTAAATATTCTGAAGGAATTATAGGTTAAACTAAGTTTATAGAAAATGTTAGTCATTAATAACTTCATCTTCCAATTACAATTATATAGCCGATGCAAGAAACTGAAATAAAAAACACTGTATAGTAGAGGTAAGGTAGTGAATTTCTTTTTAAGAAGAAATTTCCATAGTTGGAATCTCATTCTTGTAAGTCACTTTTTCTACTTCCGTCGCTACATATAAATACAATCAGGAAAAAAAGTAGAAGAACGAAAAACATCAATGAGGAAACCGAAGAATTTATAAATTTTTCACGATCAAAAGCTATTTCGTAACGTTCACCTTGAACGAATAGAGAGAAATAAAAGAAACAACGAGTTGGCAAGCTAGAATCGAAGGTCCTTTACTTCGGCAAAACCGTGAAATTTACACGGAGTTTGGCTACTAGTTTATTCTCGATTAAATTTATTAAATGGACATTGAGCAATTAACATTCCTAGTCAACCGGAATTACATAAGATTTCGCAAGTGGTTTTTTTTGCTGTTGTTGTTGTTGATGTTCTGTTTCTTTTTTGCAAGCGCATCGGTCGAAATGGATTTCTCTCTTGATTTGTATTTTTGGTAGCCCCAGTTTCTGCGCGGTGCGGTCGCGAAAGCTCTCCGATTTCGATAAGGCTGCAAAACGGTGGAACGGTTTTATTATTGGAATATAAACGTCGAAATTGTACCAAGCGCCTTTTAGGACTGCGACCATCATCAGATTAGACCGTATAAATAAGGAAACCGAGCGCGGCATTAGCTAATAGGCGACGTGCTGCTTACTAATATAGCGAAGTCGGTTTCTTGCCCAAGAGGAGGACAAAACCCGAGATCATCTTTTGTCTCGGTCCGGAGGCTGCGGACTGCTGCTGGTGTCTTGTGAATGTTCTCAGTGGACTCTCTCCACTTTGTATCTACTGCTGCTGCTGCTGCTGGTCAAGCCAAAGATAGGTAACGGCGGTCGACCGTCGGATTCTCGCAAACATGTTCATCTCGGTCTATATAAATGTTTGTTATCGTCGGCCATCGACGCCGCGTTTTGGCATGAATCGTTTGGCAATTTCTTAAAAACCATTTTTAAATACTCTTCTCCGACTCTGACACTTAACGCACACCAATTTTGTGATTCACTTGTCTATTCTAATTGATTCAATCATGAGCATACAAAATAATTAACAATAACAACAAAAATCGATAGAATTCAGAAACATTGTAAGACAATTTAAAGGCGACAACACTTCAACTCAAACAAATTGACTTGGCAAATTATTCGAATACATGTAAAAATACAGCATTTTTAATTGCATATGTAACTTGACAAGTTACTTGTAACGTGTTGCAAACATAGTATAATCAAAAAAGAGAAAACTTTCGAGCGGTGATTCGTAAACATATTAGTTAATCAACTGAGTAATTAGTAAATCAATCGGGACCAATTTGAGAAGATACCAGAGTTTAAAAAATTGTTAAACCATACGCAACATGTGTCTTTGACGTAATAAAATACAAACAACGGTTTAACATTTGCCGTCGCTCAATAGGAATGCTGCAATACGTGGATATTATTTTATTTAAGTTAATATTTAATTATCTAGAAAACTACAATTATTTTAATTATATTTAGTTTATTTTATAATTAGATGAATTATATATATTATATATATTTAAAATATAGAGTAAATTGATCATTTTGTAATATTTAATTAAAATAATCTGTGCATAACTTCTATATTTTTAATTGCTTCAAACTACTGCTTAAATTCTTGAGAAAAAATCATTAACTATGATTATATTTAGATAAAATTCAAATAGTACAAGAAATTAGTGCTTTTTTTCACTCTTTGATCGTACTTAATAGGTATTTTCTGACTATGAACAAATTTCAATATTTTCGATTAACTATTGAAATTTATTGAATTGAACATGAATGATATTGGCGTACGTTTATTACTATTATTAATATCCATTATGTCAAGTCTAATTGAGGCCGTAAAATTAATTTCATGTAAAAAAAGAAGAAAGAAAGAATGAAAATGAGAGATATAAACGGAAAGCAGAACGAGATTAATAATATTTATTTAAAATGAATAAAGTCGGGTACGAAATGCACGCGCACTCCCATACGCAATAAATTATTGGCCTATGATGGAATGCGCAATTTATTTATATTCTATAAGGACACGCGGTGACATATTTGGTTTTATTTCATACGACCATGTTGGAAGCCGAATGCTAATAAGCCGTACGTGTGTAAATCAAGGAGCATTTAAAAATCCGAATAGACTTTAATCGCATGTAAGACGCTGTAAATTTCCGCAACCAGAAGAGTAGAAGGAGGAGGAGGAGACCCATTAAAAACAATACCTGCAAATAAAACGATTTTATTGCATCCTAAAAAAAATCCGTTTCTTCGGGTAATAAGTTTCGTGGTATTTTTATGCAAATTTCGTTTTGCACGTGGCGCGCAATTATTGTTATTAAGTGAGAAACGACAGTCGCAATCGGTCGCTAATTAAGCATTCATTTTTATATTTCTCTTAAACACCTGATATTCCCATAAAATATACGGATAATAACGCGAGAAGTCTGAGGTGGAAGGAAGAATATTAATTTCACATCTGCATAATGCGAATCGAGTTATTGGAATTGATTGGATTCCTTGTTAATTAAGGAATGCGCGAGCTTGATTAATAAGAAGAAAAATAAGTGTTTGAATTGCGCACACAACCTGCATGTAACATGTTATCTCGTTTAAAAAAAAATAAAAACTAATAAATGTTGCATTTATTTTATTAGATTGAAAAATATTAATAAAATCGTTCTGAACAAATACCGAATTTTATAAAGAAAACGAATTATATTGAAAAGGAAAGATGTAAATAATAAATTTAAAACAAATCCAGTATGCTGCACGATCGTGGGTCGCGATCCCTGGTAAATAATTACCATAAATTAGCGTTGTTTATATTTACAAGTTCAATAATTTTAATAAACGTTTTCGCTTTTATTCTCGATCCTGAACCCAATTTAAAATAACTTTACATACTGATTTCTATTTCATGTACCTCGCATAGTCCTGATTCGGTTAGTTCGGATTCACTATAAGCCGATTTGAAAATTTCAAAAGAAAATAATACACAAAATTATTATGTTTTTTTTATCATTTTTTTGCAGACTTGTCTCGTTTTCTATTTTATTTTATTTCTCGATTAGTCCGTACAAACCAGAACCGAGATTGCCCGCACTATGCGAGGTATTGCTGTATTCATAAGTATCGTGCTTGGCAGCTTACAAACGTAAACTAACACGAATCACAGTTACTATTTATCAAGTTTAGATTAAAGATATTATGCAACAGCAATAAAACTACACATCCTCATCCGAAACTACTTAAGAGTAACATTTCAAAAAGCAATTATCTTTATTACGAAAAAATCAAAGACATTTCCCGTCGCTTTTCAACAAATTTTGTATTTTTTTTATCTTTACATCAAACTATGCATAAACGTAGAAATTATATTAATATAAGCATTAAAGAATACGGAAATGCCTATACACATTGTTACAATTCTAATTAATTCAGAATGATTCCACCAAACTTAATCTTGTAATTATAATCGGATATCAAATATTCATAAAAATGCAACTGCAACAAAATAAGTTTAGCTTAATTTAAAATAATATAAAAATTATATTATAATTAATTTAGACATACGTTTCTTATATGGTAATTTAACTATTATACATTTATTAATTATTCAGATTACAGAAATATGGAAAACTACATGGAATTGTACAAATAGATCAATGTATTTGCATTAACATTATAAATTACAAAACTTGCGACGGCGAATGGATTTTCTGATCATAGTAGTATTTCTTCTTGTTTTTGTTTTTCTTTTTTTATAATTTAATCTACGATATATTGTTTATCATGTTTCAATGTTTTGTTTTACTTTTGTTTCAGTTGATGAAAAAGGAAACTGCATTATTCATATAGAAATGATAAAACTATTTTTATACAATATTAATGTCAAAAGTGTAATTGCATGATTAATGTAAAAACATGTAGTTCTTACATTAATAACAAAAATATATTAATAATTAAAGTGAAATCAAAAGCAGTAGGAAACCTGTTCGTGATGTTTACATTTACAATCGCAACGACAGGTGACGCTATGTTTTATGTAGGTTTTATTACGATTAAAATGGAATAAATCAATGGGATTTAAGTGAAAACAGTAGTTTATTCATATTTCTTGTCACAAATTAATTGTATATAAATGATGTGAAAACAATAAGATGTTTTAATCCCGTCGGAATGGAAGTGTAAAAGGCATTGTTCTAAAAAAGATGTGATAAATCAAAATGTATGAATGATTTTCTTTTATGTTCTGTTGAAATTTGAATTGAGATTTCATGTTTCCTAATTGGAAGCGTGATTTTCAATCGCTGATTGCAGTGAGAGCGTTTCAGTCGGACACAATAGAAAGTGTCTTCGAGCTTTACCAAATTAAGCGCGTGATTTATGTAAACCCGTTTTATCTATGGAGAGATAAACAGAGGGAGAATAAAAAAAAGGACACGCTGCAGCGTTTGAATGTAGCAGGAAGAAATTACACGCCAGATTAAAGAGCGGATTAACACGAAGCGAAGGATAAATGTGTTGACAGCCGCCGCAGCCGCAGCTTCACCTCACTGTTGTTGTTACCATTTATTTGCAAAAGACATCGTTAAGAAACTAGCGTGAATGTGAGATAATAATGAATGTAATGTTTGTGTACCCTGTCATATTGGTGGGCAGCTCCGAAGGGCGACGGAAAAGGACCAGCTCTGGGCACCGGGTGTGCGGGGGCGGCGCCGGCCCTCTGGTACAGATAAGGGTAGTACGCTTGGTACATAACTTCAGAGCAGCTCATGGCACATCACCACACAAAAACTACCCTTATCGAACGGAAAACCACCACTCAAATAAATGATTACAGATAATATGCAGCTCCCAGTAGATCTTTTTTTCTTTTAATAAAAAAAAAATAGTAATAATCACAGAAGCGCTCTACACAAGGAAACACAAGCACAGTTCGTTGTAATCTAAGTAAATTATTTCATTTGCGATCGTACTTTTACTAGAAATCGTTATGAGTTTTCTGCCGGCACGGATCGCGCGTGAGTTTTTTTTTTCTTTCGTTGTTGTTGTTCTTGTTGGCGGCAGCAGCAGCAGCAGCAGCAACAGAATTACCTCACCCTAGAGTTACCCGTAACAGACTAATGCCGGAGCCAGTTTTTGGGGGTGTTTAGAACCTCCTACTTAATTCAATACCGAGCGGCTCCGCCCGTCGCATTCAAACTCCGCCCATGCCAATCAAAAAACCCGTCGTCCACCAATAGACGCGTTTGTTTACGCTTGGGAACCCCTGAATACTCTGCGTGCTTATCATCGCGTCCGGCAACGCAACCTGTTATCAAAAATTCGCACTAGACGACGTCCACCCGGTCGCGCATCCATTGATAATGATGATATTTTACTCCCTTGCCCTGGTGTAATTGCAACGTAAAATTTTGTTGCACACGCCGCTCAACCAATCAAATTGATTAAAACTATAATTTCAATCGAAACCTTTGATTGTTGTAAACGCCAAAAAGGTCGAACGAAATTGCAGCGATTTTTTTTTATTGGTTTTTTTTATCAATATTTTTTTGATGGATCGCGAAAAAATAGAAAATACTGGAATGTTTGTAAATTAATTGGTAAATACTGAAACATTTTTTTTTTACGTACAAACAATATTTTTAAATAATAATTTTGTAACATCAAAAAAATACCATTGACAATAAAATAAGTACTATTATATTAACAATTATAAAAGTAAAATTAGGTAAACTTCAGATATTTGAACTTAATAGTTACAACAATCATTTACCAAACAATTATAGTTTTATTAATCTGCTGTTAGGTTTTAGCAACATTTTGATGTATTCAGTTAATTATATAGAAACTCTTTCTTTCTTCTTACCTAGGATTAATAATTTACGTTAAATAATGAAACATGTTTATTGTATTTGTTAAAACCAATATTTTATATTTTTTAAAAAAATCATATTTACAAGTTGTTTGTTTTATAGAATGAAGTAAAAGTAAAAAAATATTAATTTTCTTAATAATGGAATTATCTATATGTATTTATTTTTATTTATTCTACCTTGTACTCTCTTAAAAATCAAGTAAGTCTTTGTTTTTTTTTCTCTAAATGTCATCGGTCATTAGAGATTGTTTCATTCTTAAAAATGGTTTATAAATCAAGTAAGTTGTGAAAAAAGTTATATAGTTTAATTTAATTTTATACAAATCAATCATTAGTTGCTACTTTGTTAACTAAGTAGAACATTCTTTTTAAATATAGTACAAAAATAAAATAGACAAATAATAGTACCTATAACTAATTGAAACAAATACATATTAGATTTAAGTAGTCTTTATTATATTTAGTTTGGGTTCATGTTCTGAAGAACTATATTTTAGTTATATTATGGCATAAATTTGATGTTATACTTTCTAAAAAAAACTAAAATTTGTAAACTCTAATACTTTGATAAAAGTTTGTAAAGAATGTACGAAACTTATAAAATTAATTTTCAGACTTTAGTAAAACGTATGAAATGAGACTTCAATTTCATCTAAATAGATAATTCTAGCAAGGTTATATAAATTATACAAAAATTGGTAGAATGGTAAATATTTTATATAAATACCAAAAAAAAACGGGCAGAAAGACCTATGGTCAATAGCCTTTTGTATCAGTTGATTTTTTTTGAAATTATATATATTTATATTGGTATTTTTACTTTTTGGAACTGATGCAATAAACATTATTATTATTTATACCAACTAAAACATTATGAGGCTTAAATGAAAAGAAGATTATTCCAGTTTTTTTTCATAATTTCCATCTCAAATTTAAATTATATTACTGTAATATTGGATGTGTAAATGTTCGATACTTCTCTTCTCTAGTCTGCACAATTATTCAAATATAGACTTATTAAACAAACACTTTTAATATACTCAGTTTAAATAACTGACATGAAGAAATTGTCAAGATTATTTGCACATTTTGCATTGATATCTCCAATTGTGATTGGATTGAACAAATTTTACTTTTATAATAAAAAAAATTAAACTAATGAAAAAATGTGTTTTTTATTCTGTTTTCATAGAGTTAACAAAACAATTTAAAGGTATGTTTATTAAAAATTACAATATTTGAATACTGTTGTTATTTTTTTTTTATTATTTTGATACGTTTTCAATTAAACAATGTAATATTTAATTTTAGAGAATAAATCGGCTCGTTGTTATCACTATTCAATAAAATGTATGAAAATGTTGAAAAATTATTCAAAAACAATAATAATACAAATATTTATTTATTGTATATTTTCGTTTATATGAAAAATGTAATCAAATCATAATAAAATTTAAAAAAAACAATAATTGTAAAAGTTTGACGAAATTGTAATTTTAATGCTAGTATGTAAGAAATGTATGTATATAATAAATTTGTAAAAATAATGATTATTTAGATTGTTTTTTATTATTTATGATTTATAATTAAACTACATTGAACTATTTTAATAATATTATAAAAAGAATTGTAAAGTGATTCATCAAAATTGAGTAGCCTTGGTTTAAAAAGAAAAACAAAAACTTTGTTACGATTATTATTTATTATCTAAAAAAAATATTTTTTCTACAGAAAATTTCCCACTTTTCCATGTTAATTTCGCAATAATAAATTCAAGGAATGCGAATGGAAAATACAGAGTTATCAACGTTGAACTATTTTACCTATTATCTATGTTTCCTGCAAAACTGAAGCAAAAATAAATTTGCTAGATACGACGGGTATGTGCATCGTCGTCGTATGTCCTCCTGGCACGATCACAATTCCTGGCATGTCTCCGCCTATACGCATTTCTAACATTATTGATTTTCGAAGAACCCCGAAGGTCTCTTGCACCACCAACTTACATAACTTTTTGGTCTACTCTCCAGTAGAGGGCAGCAATATCGATATGCAAGAAACTGCAAACGGATCGATTCAAGTCGCGCGCAAGGATGTAACAATATTCGCTGTGGCAATCCACTCAAAAAATGCCTTCCGATCCAGATTCATCAGGTCTGCAACCTAATGAGAAACGGCCTTCTATACTGCACGTTTCTCCGGGTCTAAATTTGACATGGCCCAACGAAGATCACGATCTCAATTATACCATACCCAAAGGTAAATTATTTTGCTTTTATTATTATTTACTAATTAATCAAAGTAATAACTTTGTTTTGCAGAAATTTGGTGGCCATGGTGCGATTATTGGAAAGAACCGCAGCACGTTTTGTTCCAATTAGCCAACATGTGCTTTGCAATCGCTTACGCCTCAAACTGCACGAAAAAGGGAGTTCTGTTCATGCACTGCTGGCTAATAATTGGTAAAGTACATTTAAAAAAAATATATTTATTACATAGATTTGTTTTTTCAGGTTTGATGTTATTTTCCGGTTGGGCTTGGAACGTGATCTGCGCGCCGGACGTTTTCACGTGGAACTTCGCGTTCGTTTTACTAAACTTGGGTCAGGTGTTCCACATCATTTATCAAATAAGACCGGTCAAGTTCGATCCCGAATTAGAAGAAGTTTACCATAATCTCTTCGAGCCGTTCAAGGTACTTTTATTGATGATAACCTCATTCGCTCCGAATATTTAGTCACGACAACGTTCTAAGATTCCCAGGCTGCAATTCAAGAAGATGGTGAGTTTGGAATTTGCGCAAATCATGTCGCTGCACGCAGGCGAAGCGTACGCAGTTCAGAATTTGACGAGGACGGATCGGCTGGGTCTTCTGCTATCAGGGAAAGTTAACGTGCTTTCAGATAACCAGTTTCTGCATCCAATCTTGCCGTGCGAGTTTCTGGATTCACCAGAATTCGAGTCCAGTCGAAACACCGTTGACGATAAATTCAAAGTAAATGATTACGTATAGAATTGAATATTTAATCTTTTTGATTGTTTATTATTTGAGGTGTCTATAGTAGCGGCGAGCACTTGCAGATATCTTTACTGGCAACGCTCCGCTCTAGAATATCTCTTCGTTAAAGACACTTACATAGGTACAGTGCTGACGACGTTAATCGCAAGGGATATTACCACCAAATTGTACGCTATGAATAACAAAATTGTGACGGCTAAAGGATCTCACCTTGACATTAGATTACCCAGTATTACGTCCAGTTTAACTTCGAATAGTGAATATAAATCACCGATACGGAAGAAAGGAAACGGTATATGCATTTCTCAATAGCTGAAACTCATTTCTAAAACCAATACATTTTAGGTACATGCCCAATGTCGCCGGATTCTTTTTTGGGCGATGGACTTCCTAGAGATAAAAATTACAAAGAAAACATGATGCAACAGCAAACCGGATACGTGAGTGAGATGACTCCTCTAACGGAACTTCCTTCCACCGATGATTTAACTTCCAACAACGACGTGGAAAGTTGGCTGGAAACCAGTTCCAAATATCACAGTTGCGAAATCGTCGACACAGATTAAATATAAACACAACTATGTATTTTTTTTTAAACTATTTTACTATATTAATAAATTTAAAATATGTTTGGTTTTAAGAAATATTTTATTTGAAACCTTAGTTCAATCATTGCGTCATGTGCTATTACAACAATATATTCATGAATTTCAATAAATAATTTGATTTTCATGTAAATGTAACTCGCTTCTACTTTATATAAAATTGTTATTTCAATAATGAAAACTAAACCTAAAATTAATAGAAATATTATTATCAATCATTTTAAATTACAATTCTCATATATCTAAAGAATGCAAATAAATTTTCGTACAAAAATAAACGTTTATTAAATTTATGTATTTCATAAAAATGCCAATGTAATAAATTGCGAATGCGCCGGGTGTTTCGAATTTAATGACCGTTGAACGTTGAGTAATCGTTGCAGAATACCACCAGCTAATGAGACGCTTTTGCTAGTGAAAATATATAGTTCGAAAAACACAATGAAAGATGACCCTTCGATCGTTAATCAATTAAATCAATTATAATGAAAATAATGAGTTATTGATAAAAGGTCTTTCTGACCTATAATTAAATATTGTTAAAATGGTTGTTTAGTAATTTTAATTTCTATATAATTGATGTTTTACGTCCGATAAAAATCTAAATTGAATCGCTTCTGTTCTCCTAATTGTGTTTTAATAATACATCTATCTATAGAAGCAATCAACAATGAAAGTAATTTTCGCACACGCGAATTGCTGCAAAAACGTATTCGTTTTCATGATCTAAAGAATGGGAAAATATTGACACGACAGCGTGAATTCAAAAGCACTTATAAATAAAAGATCTTTTATTGATTTTCTAACAGCTATCAAAGTGACAGTTGATTTTCCTTTAAAATGATTGTATTTAACCTAAATATTTCACAATTACTATTTCAAATTTTTCTGAAATATATAATGAATTGATGTTTGGCCAATAAATTATGATTATAATAAATTAAAGAATAATTAGTTAGATTTGCAAAAGTGCGTTGCCATTCCCATCAAAAATTATAGTAATACATGCAAACAATAGGGTAGACCAGCGTTTCTTAACCTTTTTACGTCGCGACACAATATGTTTGTTTGTAGTTATAATGCGACATATTCGTAAAGAGTATTTCACCACTTTGACACATGATGACAATTGTCAATTTGCAATTCAACATATTTATTTGTAGTTGTATTGCGACTCAATTGCTAATAGTTTTGTGTACCATTTACTCGCTTTGACACTAAGTGACAGCTGTCATTTCGCAACCCAACAAATTAGTTTGTATTTGTATTTTGACCAAATTGCTAATAGTTTTGTGTTCTATTTACTCGCTTTGACACTAGGTGACAGCTGTCATTTCGCAACCCAACAAATTAGTTTGTATTTGTATATCGAACAAATTGCTAATAGTTTTGTGTACTATTTACTTGCTTTGACACTAGGTGACAACTGTCATTTCGCGACCCAAACAAATTAGTATGTATTTATTTGTAATTCGAACAAATTGCTAATAGTTTTGTGTACTATTTACTAGCTTTGACATTAGGTGACAGCTGTCATTTCGCGACCCAAATAATTTGTTTGTATTTGTATTGCGACCCAATTGCTAATAGTTTTTCAATAGTTACTCTCTTTGACACTAGTTGACATCTGTCATTTTGCGCTACATAGGTTAAGAACCGCTGTGTTAGACAACATTGAATGAATACATTCAATAATCTCATTCTAATTATTATTTTTAAGACATGCCAAATTCAGCCTTATTTTATAAATTATGATTTATATTTTAAGAAGTTTAAAATTTTAAACATGTAGAAAACAATATGAATATTTGAAGTTTTTACTAAATATTCTCAAATTGCAATGTTTTTACAGTAAATCTTAATGCAATTTATTTGTTAATTTTCTTTTTATTTTGTTTTAATATTATAATAACAAATATTTGACAACAATTTGATAAATATAATTTTTTAATATTCAACATTTGTTTTGGTCATTAAGAATACGTTTGTAAAAAAAAAGAAATCTGGCCAAGATAAGGTAAGATAAAAATAGTTTGCAAATTGCATATAATTGGTCTGTTTTATTAATGAAGTAGGTGTGCGTTTTAGCTTGGTAGACTACTCCGTGTGCTTGTGTGTGTGTGTATCGATTTTGCTGGAGTACAACGGACGGTGCAGTGGACCAAATGTGCTGTGTTTTTGGATTCGGCGGCGGTAGTATTGAGTGTGGGTGGTTCGGCATCTCCGCCGTTCTCTGGGTCGCCGCGCGAAAGTCAGCTGTGCTGCGAGTGCGGCGGCAGCGCGGGTGTTTGGGGGTGGCGGCGGCGGCGTCGGCAGCGAGGAGTGCGCGCGGGGCGTTAACTCAGTGTTCCGAACATTTTTCCCACTTATTATGAAGTTTGCCACCTCACCAAAGACGCAGTGATTTCACCTTCGTCGCAAAGACACCGAAAAGAATTGAGGTAAGGTAAATGAAGCACCCAATTTTTTGAGTGCCCCACGACAAAATATTTTGCATGCAACCGTGACGAGACCATCCCCCCACGTTTTGTCGATAAATTCGCGATGGGGGCGAAATCGGGAATAGTCTGCGCGTGGCTCAAAACCAAGAAAACAGTAATTATGTTGTGATTTATTTGTTTGATCGGATTGTCCCTTCGTTTGTGCATTGTTTCGCGGTTGGGGGGTGGGCGGCGGCGGCGGTGTTTGCAGCGGGGGGAATTTGCGCTGAAACCGACGACAAATTATTTGTTTACTCCGTTCCGGTCGCATCGCTGAACAACCGGAAGTTGTAAATATTTTAACCAATCCAAACACAGTTGTTGTCGTGGCAATAATATTTGTTTACAAAGAGAAATGCTGATTTCTTTATTTACGAATAAAACTGAACACAATTCAAGCTGCACTGAGTAATTTATTTTAATAATATTAATACATATAGAATGGTTAAATAATTAAGAATTTATAAGTTTTAATCAGTGTTTTTTAATGCTAAAATCACACATTATTTCCATGAAATTCTTAGTTAAAGATTCGTGACTACAAATCAAAAAAAGGTTTATATTAATGTAAAATATTTTTTTATTTAGTTACTTAACAATTTTTATTTATTCATTTGGTGGAGGCGCTGGGATTGCTTGCATCTCTATGAAAGAATGATTGCGGTTCTTTCCGTTATAAATTAATTTATTGTTATTATCAATTGATCCATGGACCATTGAATACTTATCATCACGTGCGGTTCCTAATATTTCTTTTACATATATAATTATAAAAATGGTTCTTCAGTTCCAAAAACGTTACCAACTAATGCTTTTGATTCTATTAACATTAGTACAAGAAACATAAATCAAAATCCCAGCTAAATGTGAATATATTTGTTTTAGATGAAAAATCTCATTATTTTAAATAGAATGCAAAGACTTAAACAATATTTTAATACAATATAAACCACTTTCAAATAAATAATTTCAAATGTATAAGTAGTAAAAGAGACCTTGTGAGTTTTTTTAATTTTCTATACATTCTTTTTATAAAGTAAAATCGTAAAAAGTAAACTATTTTCAAAATTACAATTTAAGAATAATTTCATTTTTATTCATATAATAATTCTGTAAAAGATAACAATTTTTCAAATATCATCAATATATCTTTATTGTTATAACTGTTACAAATTTAAAATCATAACTTTAGATAATTGTTTATCAATAATTAACTTAGTAAATTATATTTTTTTGACTATATAGAAATTGTATAGTTAATTTTAAAATATATATTTTTTGTTTAATACGGTTAAATTTGCATTTAAATGCTTGCTATAAACGCAGTTTTACTGATTCCCTTTCAAGATAATTCAAAGTCATTACGGGACTGATAGTGAAAACACATGCAATCCATTTACATGCAACATCAAATTCCACGTGATCGACAATGTGCTCACCACACTCCCTCACCGCCAGCCTCGATGGGCGGGAACGAGCAACGCCAGCAGAAGCTTAATCATAAATCAACGTTTTTAATTTATGTGCTATAAATCTTCGGCCATTTAATACTGATGATGATGTGATACCAAAAATTGAAACTTATCTCAGACCGGATGTAATTTCAGATGCTACCATGGAGACGTTTATGATCCAATCTGCGAGTCACATGCCGCAGAGACAAAACATATCAAAGGCAAAACGTGCGAAAGTCTCTGGCAGGATGAACGCGACGAACTTAACTGCCGAAGTGCAGCAGGATGCGGCCGAGAATTATACTTCCTTGTACGCGAGCGGTCTGCTCTTCGATCCAAACGGGACGATGCCTTGGAACGGAAGTGACCTATTCAATATTACCAACAGCACCGATCTGGATTACGATTACCAAATGGTTAGCAATGGAACAGATATTGTACCCGGGGAAATCTGGAGCTTCTGCAAGGATTGGACTCCAACGCAACACAACTTGTACCAAACCGCCAACTTCCTATTAGCTGCAGCTTTCCTAATACCAGGAAGTTTCAAGCAGAGCGTGCTTTTAGTCAGGTATTTATATATACACAAATAATCCTATTTCCATAAAGAAATCAACAAATATTTCAGGGCTTTATTGAGTTTGGGATATTTACTCTTAACGAGCTGGGCCGGAAGCGAAGTCTGCTCCCCGGATTTGGTTCTCTGGACTTCTCTGCTGCTTATCCTCAATCTGACCCATACTTGTATACTCACGTGGCGCTTCCTACCGCCCACGCTCACCCTCGAACTCACCGAGCTATATCTCAAGGTAATGCACGCAACTTCCTTATAAATTCTTTTATTCATGTACCTAAACCGATTTTATCTGTAAAATTGAGGCGCGCGTTCGTTTCGCAACAAAGAAACCCATTAAATGTACACGCTACACGCGAAATTATAAATATTTTCAAATCGATTCCAGGTTTTCAGCCCACTTAGGGTCAGCAAAAAGCATTTCAAGGAATTGGTCAGGGAAGCTCACGTAGTGATTTTGGAAAGGGGCGACATCTACGCCGTCGAGGACGTCAGTCCTGCCGACGAGAGACTTTCCATCCTTCTTAAAGGAAAGTGAGTTACTGCAAAAAAACATAATGAGTAAATGATAAATCATAATCTTTCTAGATTGCGTGTCACGTGCGACGATACACATCTACACTTTATTACCACTCATCAGTTCGTTGATAGTCCCGAGTGGGAGGCGAATCACGAGCAATCTGATGACGTTTTCCAAGTTACTATCACGGCGGAAGAAGACTGCGTTTACCTATGTTGGCCTAGAATGAGATTGGAACGAGTCCTAAGACATCGGCCTATGTTGAAGACTATTTTGGATTGTATTATTGGTAAGCAAAATTGATAAATGTAATTTGTAAATAGCAAAACATTTGTTCATTTGCAGGAAAAGATATAACTCAGAAACTTTACTCTCTGAACGAGCATTTGAGCGGCCTAGACATTGAGCGGGAAAAGAGTAAAAGAGATGAAATATGGGCTAAGACCCATATAAGAAGCATGTCAATGGATGCTGTTGATACAGGAACTACCGGCTTCGTACGGTCCAGCTATTACAAGGATGTTCAAAGGAAGCATTCGTTAAATTCTTCACGTAAATATATCGTTTTCATAGCGCAATTAAATTTTAAAATGTGTCTTCTAGTTACGGGTTCGATAAAAGGTTTGCATGCACAATGCTGGATCCCAGTGGTAGCAAACCACTTTCCAGCGGTATCTCCATTTACTGCGGCCGCATTAGGGATCGATGGTGATGGAAACATCGATGCGACTTCGACGACAACTTTATTGAGAGTGCCAGAAATACCGATGACTCCGCAACGGACGCGTTCCTTTAAAAAGACTCGCGAAGTCAAGTTCAAAAACTATTGAAATACCATAATAGCATCTTCATCGCATTCACTCTTTGTAAATACACACGAGATCATATACAATTACGGGCCATTTATTTAAACAAACAAAAAAATAATAATAACAGCACAAAAAGACCAAACATTGTGAATACTTTTATATCTGTGCCTTTTAGGTCCGTAGCCGAACAATATTTTAATTCATAACAAATAAAAGAAAAGAAAAAAACAACAAATATTTAACAAATTTACACACGTCACACCAATTCCAGACAGGACAATCTGTTTTTAAATTTTAAAAACTTGAACGTGTAAATTTGTTAATGCTATTCAAAGAAATATTATATATTGGATATAATTTTAGGGCAAAAGTGAAACCTGCTTTTCGCTGGATTTGTAGCTTAGTGACAATGAGAACGTGGATTCGAAACGTAAACGAGTTGGCCTCCTCAGAGAATATAGTAATGCGTGTTACGGTATTTGGATGTAAGTGTTAATTTACAATTTCGGTTCTTTCCTTCTTTTTTTTTCCACTTAAATGCCTTCCATGGAGCGGGATTTGAAATCGGAAGATTTAATAAGATTGAGCGAAGTAAAAAGTGTGTAGAATGTAGCCTTATGATATTATTATATGATAAAACACAAAATTCAAAATGCTAATGTTAATGTTATCCATGTTTATATGTATTTATATATATATATTTATATGTTATGAAAGAATTTATATAAAAAAAAATCCTATGAAATATTACACTTTGTATAATAAAATATTTTATATACAATATTGTAATCATTTTATTTTTTATAATTCAGAATATATTTTTCAGCAGAAAAGAGATTAGAAATCGATGGTTTAGGTCTCAATTTCAAATTCCGAAAGAGCCTACTATTTATACCATTATGTGATACAATGATAAAAAGTTAAAGGAACTTTTTTATATCTTTATATGAATCGTTGATCTATGTGTAGGAATTTCGTTTCTGTTATGAGGTTTCTTGGATTCTAAGCATGGACGAAACAATAATTATTCACACTTTGTAATTTGAAGATATAATCTATTTAGTTTTTCATATAAAAAACCATGTTCTAATTGTATAATTTTCTTTTCCGTTATGAGATTCAAATTCAAATAATGCCAAACCATTATCACTGATAAATAACAGTGTACAGTATGAGCAAGTAGAAATGTTAAGATATCTCTCTAACTTCATAAACCATACTTATAGTTATTTTATTTTATATCATTTTGTATCAAGAGGTGTATCTGCTAATATGTGATGTAAATTAATGCTAAATCAGACTCAAAGGAATTATCCATCTTCCAAAACTTCCTAATCGATCAGTTGTGAGTGAGTGACTAATAAAATGCATGCACAATTTCAACTCGAAGCATGTATTAATATGATGAACTTATTCCAGTGTAAACTAATCGATTGCTTAATAAGTGATTTGAAATTCTATTCGATGAATATCATTCAATTGACTAACATTTCCTTGATTTTCTATTGGGAATAGTAATCGAGGAACATATTGACACTGACATTCATTTATTCACATTCAATTAATTGTAAATTAATTGCAATTAGAAAATTAATAAATTATTGATGTTTGTCATACAGTGTTTATCAATTTATCCGCAAGAGGGAGTTTTTATGTTATTAAATAATTTTGAATTTGAACATCAGTTGGCATCACCTATTGCTTTTACGCCGGTTTGCGGAGGGGAGTTCAGTCACAGTTCGTATGCGTCGGCGTGTGCTCCTGTTTTATAAGTTCAAAATTGTTGTGCAACTAGTTCAAATCCGATGAACTGCGATGTGTGTTTTGAGAAAACCATCATCGGAGATCACAACCCCATTAGATTTAACGACAATTAAAGGTTAGTGGTGAATCTGATTTTTTGCATTGCATTGAAAGTTTCCCAATTTGTTCGCTAGTCGCTTACGTAGCTTGTGTTAAAATGTGCGTACTCTGTAATAACTCTTAATTGAGAAATTCGCGTTAATTAATTAGAAATTTGGACGCATCAAAAATGGCGGACCGTTGCGTTCTTTCCACCACTTTCTTTTGTTTTTAATTGATACCAACGCATTTTTTTGCAAAAAAAAAAAAATTGTTGTACCAGGTACCGGTTGGTACGATTGTGACATTCTTTTGTTAATGTTGATACCAACGCATTTTTATTGCAAAACACTCAAAATTGATTTATCACGTACCGGTTGGTACGATCGTGGCGTCTCTATAGTTGTGCGCGTCCCTTTCTTAAGTCAACATCGTTCCAATTAGAAGTGCGCGAAAATTAATGAAATTTTGAGACTCTCATTAATTTTCAGTTTAAATTGAAAACCATGATCGGAGATCACAACCCCATTAGATTTAGCGGCAATTAAAGGTTAGTAGTTAATCTGATTCTATACAAAAAAAAATTATTGCATTGAGTTTTCCAAATTGTTCGCTAATCGCTTACGTAGCTTGTGTTACAATGTGTGTATCTTGTAATAACTTTTAATTGAAAAATTCGCGTTAATTAATTAGAAATTTGGACGCATCAAAAATGGCGGACCGTAGCGTTTTTTCCACCACATTCTTTTGTTTTTTGATACCAACGCATTTTTGTTGCAAAACAATAAAAATTAACGTACCAGTTATAGGTTGGTACGAACGTGGCGTCTCTAGTTGTGCGCGTCCCTTTCTTAAGTCAACATCGTTCCAATTAGAAGTGCGCGAAAATTAATGAAATTTTGGGACTCTCATTAATTTTCAGTGGAAATTGAAAACCATGATCGGAGATCACAACCCCATTAGATTTAGCGGCAATTAAAGGTTAGTGGTTAATCTGATTCAATACAAAAAAAAAATTCATTGCATTGAGTTTCCCAATTTGTTCGCTAATCGCTTACGTAGCTTGTGTTAAAATGTGTTAATGTGCTTGTGTTAATGTTTAATAACTTTTAATTGAAAAATTCGCGTTAATTAATTAGAAATTTGAACGTATACAAAATGGTGGAATGACGCTTTCCTTGCGCCATTTTTTTTTATTTATTGTTAATTTTGCATTTTTGTTGCAAAAATAAAAGACGTGCCAGGTGTCGGTTGGTACGATTGTGGCGTCTCTACAAGATAGTTGTGCGCGTCCCTTTTTTAAGTCAACATCGTTCCAATTAGAATTAATGAAGTTTTGTGGATTTCTTATTAATTTTTAGTGGAAATTGAAAAGCTGCTGTTCCGAACCGTAACCAGCGACAACAACGCCCATCTATGGTGAGCAATTTAAATCTTTATTTTTCGCATGTTCTTTTTTTTTCAAAGCTTTTCTTTGTAACTTCATAAACTATAGTCTATTTGTATGAATAGGTGTGTCTACTAAAATGTGATGTAAATAAATACTAAATTAGACTCGAAGGAATCATCAATGTTATAAAATAGACTAATCGATTGGTGGTGAGTAAATGTGTAATAAAATTAATGCATCATTCAAGCTCGAAGGATGTATTAATATGAGGTATTTGTTCCAATGCAAACTAATCGATTGGTTTATAAATGATATGATATGATATTCTATTCGATGAGCATCAGTTGATGTGCTCACTCGGTTAACATTTCTTATTGGAAATACTTAACAAACATAATGAGTTGCTACCACCAACTGCGTTTTATTCATTTATTTTCTTACAGCTTCAGCATTTGTTTATTTACATGGATGCAAGGTATTGAATATACTAGGTCATTCTATGCGTTTATCACGTTCGCAGTGATTCGCATGTAATGGCAAGACCGTCTGTGCTAAAACCTTCTCGAGGTGCATCCGTTAAGGTCGTTGCTCGTATCCGTAATATGCGAGCAATCACCGACAGATCACAGCGGATCTAGGGGCTCGCGTTTTCCCCGAAATTTCATTTCTTTGTATCGCGACAGGTGTCGTTAAGAAAAGTCTTGGTCATTAGCCGATTCTTAGTCTTACATTCTGATTTACATTGTTTGTGCGTTATTTTGAAAACAAGTTTAAAGCTTCGGAGTTGGCGCATTAATTTCTAAATATAAAAACGTGAAAAGAATTTAAGAAAAAGTTGGAAAATTAATTAAGTAATAATTGAAGTTATGAAGTTAAGTGAGGAGGGCTGATTGTTGTTGAATCCCGTGTGGTATAAAATCACTTACTACTTGATGTCTTCATCTGCATCTCTGCCAATCTCCATCTCAGCCCTCGTTGTTGATTGGCACTCACGAATACTCACGATAATTTATCAAAAAATGCGCACAAAACTCCCGGAACTTTAACTTTCCCGTGATTCTAATATTAATTTAATTAACTGCACTCACGGTTGAACAACAAAAG